TGAAAAGATCGATGGCGAAAATGTTTATTGGTGCCTTTACTTTCATTTGAATGTTCAAGATCTCTTGCTGAATTTTATTGAATAGATTAGCCTTAAACTTTTAGCGTGGATAGCTCATTTATTTACTGTTGCGTCACTTCATTGAGCTTATTGTAAAGCAACTAAAATCATATGACAGTTCTAACTTGTGTTCATCACTGCTCAATATGTAGAAATATATGCAATTTATTTAGATACTTGACATAGTATCAATTGTAGCTTCTACTTTGATATTAACGCATGTGTGTCAGACAAAGTTGAGTTTTAGGCAAAATTAAACATAGTTATATAAACTTTTCATTAAATAATATATTAGTTACAACTTTAGTTTAAATGATTGATGAAAATTTTTGAAAAACTTTTGCATTTTAAGTATTATTTTAACGAGCAGAGGATTGATATGAAGCGGTTTTTAGAAGCAAGAATGTATTTCACCAGATATGTGTCTTATGATTATGATATTAGAGCATCATGAATGATTGTAAGCACTAATGCCTTTGAAGGCTAAATTTGTTATCGATATACTATAATCGATTGCACATAATTTTGGTTCGGATCTTTTTGATAAGACAGTAAAAGAAAAAAATCCAAAGAAAACATTAAAACTTTTTATTTGTAGTGTTTAGTATGGCTTTATTTTACCAACGCTAGTCTAAATTAATTAACTCACCTGGTTTATAAAACTTTATTTCAATGCAATTTTTTTTTCTAAGAGAATGTTTTTCAATTATTTTGCGCATTCCAAAGTCAACTGCACTCACATGTCAACTGTAACATATTAATTTGTGATCAACTTTAATTTAGGTTTAGTCAAATTCCAGAAGCTATAAAGTAGTTCATCAGTATATTCAATTGAAATCTATATAGTATAGGCTATTTTAGCAAGCTCCGACCAAACAAAGAAAGGATTTTTAAGTATATACTTTTTGTGTAGTATTTTTATCAATGTTTATTTGTCTACGAAATTAACATGGTTCATAGATAATATGTAAAGTATAAATGTATAATGTTCGCAAGTTTTGTTGAATTATGTACCAAGAAAAAGGAATGGAGGATTTTGTAGCTTATCTATTCTCTATGGCAGAATAATCATTATCTTGTCGGAGAATTTTATACTGCAAAAATGTAAAATTTTGATTGGCTTGTTCATAAAAATGCTTTCGGAATTTCTGCTCCGACGTCAATGAAGAAGTAGATATTTGTGCTAATATTAAAATTTGAATTAGTGAAAATGAGTACTCTGTCTAATTTTAAAAAATCAGTTTGTGCTGCTTTATTGCTACAAACGATAGTTATTTCGTAGGTTTGCACTGCATTTGTAACAAATTCTGCCAAAGTTTAATTTTTTCTAAAGTTCAATTTTGACTGTGACATGTGTGTGCTATGTTTGGTTTAGTCATTTTTAATTACACTGAAATATGGAAACAAATTAGCATTTGCTTCCAAGATACTCGACATTTTTTATCATAATTCTGACAAAAACTTCGTATGTATATTAGTTTTGATATTTTAATACCTCTCGATGTACTATCCGCTAGTCTTGTTAAATTAGATTTTTTTTTTGACAGAACAAAACGAGCGAATTATTCAAGGCAAGCTTAGCCTTCAATTGTCATATTAGATATTCTTCTCCATGCCTGGAATATTAATATATTAATATGCAGAGTACAGAAACAGATTCATTCTTGAAAACGGAATGTCTTCAACATTGTTTTTAGTGATAAGCAGCCAGTTCAGTATCTATGCTGGTTTTCCGATATGTATTTTTGGTATTATTGGAAATGTAATCAATGTTTACATTTTATTTCCTACTCGATCCAATTCATCTTCATTTCTTTTGCTTGTCTCATCGGTTTTTAATATAATTGTACTATCAGAAGGTCTTCTTCCAAAAATATTATCCTTCAGTTTTAATATAGATGCCACATCGACCAGTATTTTTTGGTGTAAGTGTCGTTATTATATTTCATATTCTACCGCCACAGTCTCTTTTGCATGCCTATGTTTTGCTTCTATCGACAGATTTTTTGTATCATGTCGAGGAGTGACATGGCGAAATAAAAGTAAACTGAGCAGAGCAAAAATCGCTATTTTCATAACTATTCTCGTGATTGCCATAGGTCATCTACCACTTCTACTTTTTTATACCATAGTCGAAGTGCAAACTAGCACAGGTAGCATTATTCACACATGCTCTATTATTAATTCTGGTCTGCTTATCTATGTAAGTTATATATATCGACCTATTATTCTCAGTATATTACCTGGTACAATATTGGCTATATTCGGTTGGCTAACATATCGTAATGTAACTAAGTTAAATAGCAACCAAACGCGTAGTGCATTTCAGCGAGGTTTAACTTCAATGATACTCTTACAAACTGTTGTAGTTATGATTCCAATAATACCTTTTGCAATAATAAATATCTATCAAGTTGTAACAGCATCAATAGTTAAGTCACCTTATCGTTTATCGCAAGAACAATTAGTCTATAGTGTAGCAAATATTATTTTATACGTTAGTTATGCATCGAATCTCTATGTGTATCTTATCTCAGCTTCATCTTATCGTAAAGATTTTCGACGACTTGTTCTATTGTGTTATCGTCAAAGTCATGCAAATAATCGTATTGGAATTGTGTCAAGAGAACAAATCCTAATGAACACCATGTCAACACAAAAATGATTACCATGATCAATCAATCAAACTGAACAAACGATTAATTTTTTGAAATACAAATGACTAATTTTAAATGTTAATAGAGTTTTTCCTGCTTAATGTAAATCTTCAATTAGACCCAATGCATAATACTTATTGTATCCTATTCAGTTTTTTGACAACTAAATAAACATGAATATCGATTCATATAAATTTATATGCAACCGGATTGATGAAGTCTCTTTTTTTTAAAGTTTTGATCAGTCATTCTACATTGCTACACACAGAAAACAGTAAAAATAAACCTCAAATCAAGACACTGACGTGAGAGATTTTTTACTTTCATAGTCTGATATATTCGTTCAGAAACTTAAACATATTTATTTTGCATTTTGATGAACATGTTATTCCGTTGTTGCGTTCTATTATATGAGCTGGTAAAATAGTTTTGGAAGAGGAAAATTCTTTCTGATAATTTCTCTTTTTATATTTGTGTATTTGGCAATCTAATTTATTATCTCTAATTATTACATCACACATCATTAACTGTATTATTTAAGATGTATTTGATAGAAATGATGACTTTCAAATATCTGGAATGACCAAACATACTAAGAATATATTAACCGATAAAAACATGTGATAATAGCATATGGTTGTATCAGTTAACAGACAGTCAAACGATCAGTATAAAGTCTTCTTTTCTCAATATATATCGTACTTAACAACATTATATATCATAACTGCAGAATATTAATTCAAGTTTGACAAACGTGTCGTAATTGTCACACATACATAGAATAGTAACTTGCTTATTAGCTCTGTTCTGAATCGGTTTATAATTCTTTTAGGCATCACAAACGTTTTCTAGTTGTCCACTACAGTTGGTAGCACTATCATCAAAGGTTTCTGACATCATGTGTTTTGAGTGTCTTTTGGCATTAAAGAAGCAGAATGATAATGATTTAGATTGGTTGGATCCCTTACTTTCCTCTTAAGATATATCTAGCTATAGTTGAGCGACAATAGTTTTTGAACTTTGACTGGATGTATGCATTGAGTTTCGTTGACAGACAAAAGCAACAGGCATTGGTTCGGCTTAGTAACCTATCAATACTTTTGACATAATGCATTATACTATACCATTAACATTCAACACATCATTTTCACATAAGTGAGAGCAGCCAAAAAGATGAAAAACAAATGATACATCATTTTCTTTTTTTTTTGTTAATAACTTTATACGGATAAAATTGAACCGATAGATAGGTGTTTTCATATTCAATTACACTTTGTTTCTATTTTCATAGTTTTCTTTTATTTTTCATAGAACTCACATATATTTTTTCTAAGAAAACGATGAATGTAAGTTTAATAGAGAGATTTTTCGGTTATCTTCACCCCACGTCCCATTACAATCATACCTCATTGCAGATACCCCCCCCCCCCCATCTTACAGACAACCTCTTTCTCATTATACGCGTTAGAAATCTCTCCAAAGCAAAGAAAAACTGTCTGTTCGAAATTCAGAAATCAATACGGTTAATCCGTATTGTGGCAATCGATTATGTTGAAAAACAACTGTAATAAGGTGCAGTTTTTCACTACATATTTTGTATTGGCATAATCAGGCAAAAGAAGCTATGTGATTTTCACATTTTAGGCCCACAGGAGCTGCGCTAACAAGCTTTTTTTAATTTTTATTCATGATTCAATACGATATTTACTTCAAAAACCGCTCTCAATTAAATAAAAGCTGTTCATTCTTCTCTTTTTTTGTCTTTTTCACTCATTTTGATGATTCATTTTGTCTTTACTCAGCATCAAGTTCTTACTTAACCTTTTACAGTAAAACCTCACTTAATGAACACCTCTATAAAGGGTGTTCCAGAAGTTCTGTAACGATTTGTATAATAAATTTTTCTTTAGTAAATCGCGCGGTTGAAAATTTGACTCTATAAAGAAAAGATGCAGTAAAAGACGCTCTACAAAATGGNTATTATTCCTGATTATTTATTGATATAAATAAACAAGAAAATCTAATAAATATTAGCTGAACAAATATATTATCATATATTTAGAAATGAATGACTCTTGATTTTTCACTTTTATATGGATAGTATAAGAATATTTCATATATCTATAATCAGATATGTTTACAAATGAATGTGTTTTAAGTACTTCTGACACTAATTAGCTGTTGATGTCAAGCTACACTCTTGAGATTTCATATATTTTTAATATAGTTCATTTATTTAGAAAAAATGTATATGACAGCATAGGAACAAAAAGTAATGATATTTTAATTTTGATCCATTTGGTCCGTGTCATATTCATTATCACTACAGCACGTTAATGCATTATCGACTTCATCGGCTTTAAGATCTTCTAATTCTTCATCTTGTTGTTTTCTAAAATAATTTTCAGCATCATCTTCATCACTGCTTGTCGATTCTTCATAAGACCCTCTTTTTTGGTCCTTTTCATTGTTGTGTATCAATTGACTTCGTCTATCAATTGATCCTTTTTTTGATAAACGGCCAAAAAGGCTACGAATTTGAGTTTTAGTTAAGTATTGATTAGTTGTAAAGAGTTTTGTATTGTCCGACTTTAGTGCACGACGCATTTCTTGAAATGCATTTTCAACTGTGACTTTTTTACCAGTATTTTCACCTTGGCGAAACAGTTTTACAAAAAATTGTTGATGTTCTTGTGTAATTTTCGTTAACTTTTGTCTTCGACGGATAGCATAACCTTGTGATGAGAATATTCGGTTAAGTTCATCATCGTTGTTACTAAATTGAATATTTTCAATATTTGAATTTTGAATAGAGTCAATTGCTGTTCTGCTGGATGCTTCTTCCAGAAGACGGGCTCCTTTTAAATGCTCGATATATATATGTCGAGCACGATCGATTGTTGATAAGGAACAATCACCAGTATACAAATGTTCGGCTTTTTGTTCATGATCCATAAGTTGTTCTTCATTATCAAATGTTGCTGAACATGAATCAACCGAACAGAAAAAAATTGCTGAAGATAAAGTACTTTTCATTAGAAATTCTTTGTTTGTGTTTTGCGTATCCGAGAACGGTAGTATTGCTGACGTTTGTAAAGTACATTTAAAACCTGTAAAGTTCTTCGACTTCCCACAGCCAATGTCAAAATATTGCCAGAAAGTAATCGACTTGTCATCAAATGCAACTGAATGATATTTTGTTATACCTTCTATTTTAATTTGTGGTAAAATACATTTGGATTCATCTATAGCAATAACTGATGTTTTTGAACCAGACAAAGAGCCAAATGATTCATCAAGTGCTTCTTTGATGGATTTTGCATTTACCAAGTTACCACCACGATTTGTATAGGCTTTGAGACAAGATTTTGCCACGGCAATATCACGATCGGCTTGATCTTTCCCTCGTTGTGGTTCATTAAAATCAGTTCTTTTCAGACAAATATCAGCAGCAGCACATATAACTTGACGAGTTAAAATAACTGCTGTACCAGCATAACATCCTGCATTATCACTACGTGTATATAATGTAGATAAATTTGGTAAATCTATTTTAATTTGATCAATTACATGTTCGAATACACATAGAACTGATGACATGTCTTGAAGACATCGGTCAATAGCTGTAAAATATGTCATTTTTTTGAGAGTATGATTGGTGTCCATATAGAAAAGAACATCAACATGGAGAGAAATCCCTTTCTTTCCAAACCAATTATCCATTTTTTCTCGATGCATTTGTGGTAAAACCTTCATCGCCCAATCAGATAACAGTAGACCACTTTGTGAATCCAATTGAGACATAACAAACTGTTTACTTTTATCTTGCTGTACACCTCGAATTATATGAAACATCCATGAAAGAATATCGACTTTAGCAGTTAATAGATCTACTTCAAGTTCATCTTTGCCGTCTGATGATGGAACACCATCCACTAAATGTTCTATTTGACGAAGTAAAGCAAGTAGAGAATTACATTTAATACATGACATGTAATGTTTCGAATGGTTGCAATTACTTTTCAAATCCTTTTCGAGAGGATCACTAAGAGCAAATAATCGACAATGAGTTGCACAATCAGTATCATCTTGACTGACGTTCTGTCGATATCCAAATTTCAAGTAATTGCGACTCAATTTAATAAGTTGTAATAAATTTTTCTCTTCGGTGTTGTTAACTTGTAATTCCTTTACTAAACGTTGAAGAATATCAAATCCAGCATTTCCATCCACCGAAAAACTGTCTAATCCACTCATCGTCTTTTTTCCTCGCGTTTTGCATGCATCTAGTAGACGAAATACAGTACTACGACTAAGTGGTTGCGCACACGATGTTTGTATACAATGCCGCTGGTATAATTGAAGTATGTGATTTTTCATCATAGTTCTAACAACATGTGGAATAAGTATTTCATCGCCTCGATCAAATTGTATAAAGGTAGTACCATGAGCAACATCTTGAATTAAGCCAGAGGAAAATAAGAAATCAAAAAAAACTTCGAGTTGATGTTTTTCGATACGTTTTCGTTGAATAATTTTTTGGTTCATTAAATTAAATTGATCATTTTGATGACGAAGATGACGACTTTTATCAATCATATAACGGTTACAATTGAAGATCGACTGTAATTCTTTACGAGTAAAGTGTTGTGGTACTGTGGATAGAAGAAACAATTTCCATTTTCGACTTGGAGCTGATTGATAAGCTTCGACAATCGACTGCATACCTAGATCAAGTTTTTGTTCATCGGTATCATTGTCAACGTTTTTTTCGAATAATTCAAGGAGACTTTGACCTTGACCAGGTGCCATAGATTCACAAATAAAAGACGATACCTCGTTGACAATAGATTCATAATGACGTTTTAATTCTCGAATGGTAATACTGGACAGATCACCAACTGGTTGCCGAATTTGATATTTTAAAGGTTTGATGTTATTGGAAAGGGCCGCTAGTAATTGATTTATATCATTCAATGATAGTTCATCGGTGTACATGAAATTTGAAGAGCAGCTGCTGGATTGAGATTGGGACTGAGATTCAGAATCAATAGATATTTCAAGATCTTGTATTCGTTCTTGGGCTTGTATTTTCAAAATACGAGTTGTCGAACATGGATTTTCATTAGTTAATATTGCGTTATTCTTGTTATTACAATCGGACTTGATCTTTGTTGAGCATTTCCGACAAACCTTTTGTCCAATTGGAAATTCATAATTTTTATTACCTTTAAAAATTTCTATTTCAATTAATTTCGTGTAATAATCTGTACCCAATGAATGTGTAGCTTTTGGCCTTTTATGATTATGATAAGGTGACTGACATAGGGAAGATGGTCGCCAGAACACCCCATATGAATAACGATGATAAGGACAAATCATATCATTATCATTACATATATCAGGAACAACCATACGATTCATAACGAGTGATCTCTCTGTGAATGAAGACAGATCAACACCTATATCGAGGCTATGTTGATGCAGTGATCCATTGAGCATTGATAGACTAACTAATTCTTGATGAATATCACCCTTTTTACTTCGAAATACATCACACTTTCCTCGTTTATGAAAAACACATTCAGAAAATTTTTGCGTCGTTGACATAGTACAAAATGTTTGTAAACAAGTAATCAACAGACAATAAAGTGTTAAATGTAAAATAAAATTATGTATATCTCCTTTTATACATCATCAAGTGCGCACACTCCAAGGGAAGAGAGATAGAGAAAACAAAGGAAAATAAAGAAAATGACGTCATGTAATTTCTCTGTTTTTAAACTTAACTTACACAGCAAACACAATGACGCCATGTATTTTCTTGTCCAACTGCGCAACAAATAAAGAAAAAGTAGAACAAGAAATACTATGAGAATTTCAATAATTCTCATGGACAGAAAAAAAAAAGAATGACCTAGATATATACATATAAGACGAATATAGGTAATACGAAGAGAAGAAAAGAAAGAAAGAAAGACAAATATATGTACATGTATAGAGAAAAGAGTGTATCTTGTTAGAATGCTCTCTAAGTGTTATATTTTTCTATTTTTGTGTATTATGGATATAGTTCTATTCTATGTTCACTGTCAAAGCCTTCTTCATTGTAATAAATGTGAAAAGAATCAAGACAACGTCTTTTTGTTTCTCTTCGACAATCCTCTGAGGATATTTCTTTGATGACAAAGAATACAGTATTATACATTTCACTTGGTTCCTCAAAAAGAATCCTAACAAAACTAAGATCAAAATTTGTGAAAAATTATTTTTTACGATTCTTGAATATTCTCTTACTAAATTTTTGGACAGCTGAAATGTACGCTATTCTGAGTTTAATGACTATTCTCATTATTGCATATATATAATATGCAATCTACATCTTGAATGATGAGATATAGATAAAATCTGGAAGCACATTTATTGGTGAACATATCTGATTATAGATATATGAAATATTCTTATACTATCCATATAAAAGTGAAAAACCAAGAGTCATTCATTTCTAAATATATGATAATATATTTGTTCAGCTAATATTTATTAGATTTTCTTGTTTATTTATATCAATAAATAATCAGGAATAATANTTACCATATCACTTGAATATAGATCAACCTAAATAAATAATATTTAAACGTATTATAATCTGGAAAATAACTTGCACTTCAATCTGGATCCATCTGAATAAATAAGATCTAAATACAAGAATTATGTAAAAAGAACTTACCGTTAAGGATCGATCCCAAGTGACCTAAATAAATAAAATTTAAACGTACTATAATGTGAAGAAAACCTATACGTCAATCCTAATCGATCTAAATAAATAAAATGCCAATATAAGATAAGGTGGAAAAAAGAAGCTTATCGTTTAATGGGGATATTGATCAGCTAAATAGAAGAAATTTGCATATGCCATAACAAGAAAATCAATTTGTATTTCAATTTGAATCTATCCGAATATATGAAATATAAATATAAAATGATGCGAAGAAAAACCTTTTCGCTGAAATTCGATGTTGATTGATCTAAATAAATAAAATATCATAAGCTAATGTAAAGTAAATACTTACTCTTCAACATTGATTTAGAATAGTGTAAATACATAAAATTTAAACATGTCATAATCTGAAGAAAAACTGCACGCGAATGCTGACCGTCCTAAATAATATACCTAGATAAGATAATGTGAAGAAAAAACTCACCGTTCAATTTTGATATTGATGCGTCCATATGGATAACATCTAAATATACCAAAAGCTGTAATCGTTTCGAGTTCAATTTCGATCTCGATCAGCTCAAATAAGAGGAATTTAGATATGCCATAATCTATAGAGCAACCTAAATGTCAATCTCTTCGATCTAAATAAGTAAAATGCCTCTATAAGATACTACGAAAAAAAACTTACCCTAGAATTTCGATTGCGATCCATGTAAATAAATAAAATACACTTGGACCGAGAAATATAAACACACACAGTTCAACTCCGATTCTGATCCATCTAAATAAATAAAACGTCAATATTCGGCAATCTGTATAGACCTATAACTCAATTTCAATTTACATCGGGCTAAACAAAGTACTCCCATACACAGTAATAGAAAAAAAATGCAAGTGTAAACTCTATCCACCTAAGTAAATAAAATTGAAATAGTCAGTAATCAGGAAAAGAACTTACATTTGAATGTCGCTTCACGTATAAATAAGCACACATAAGTGCACTGCATTGTTTGAACATTTAAATGTACGTTTCCAATTTGACCTGTCTACATAATAAAGATATAAATATTCCAAAATATAAAGAAAAAGCTTACAGTTCAATCTCGATTCAGGTTCACCTACATAAGTAAAATAGATCGATAGCAAACTGTATAAAGACTTACGTTCACATCTCGAATTAGATCCATTTAAATAAATAAAATTTATGTATAGAATATTCGGGAAAAGTTTAGACTTGAATCTCCGAGCACTTATAGAAATAAAATATTATACATTGTTTATATATATGCTTACAGTCCCATTGTTCAATTGTAATCCACCAGCATGCATAAAATATACATATATCAAAATATATGAAGATTTGCAGTTGAACTTCGATTTTAATCAACCTAAAAGACAAAACAATAAATATTCGATAGTCTGCAAAAAAAGCACATCCTCTTAACGTGTATACTTCGTCGAATTAAGTATTATTTTGTGTTTCACTATTCTATTTTGAATGAAAATGCTTTTGAAATATCTATTTTAACTATCAAAATTTTGGGTTCGCTCGAAGTAAAATTTACAAGTGTTTCTTATTGAGGAATGAAAATTTATTATGGCAATAAAAAATCTCCGAAAATATTGAGCAATATGCAAGAGAACAAACCTCGCTGGCTTAAATAACTCGCATTTGATGGGAACGAACTCTCTAGATAAATGAATACTTTAAAACAAGACTCATAGGAATAAATAAGTAAATTCCTTCTTTCACAAGAAAAATAAAAACCGCTAGTACTTTTTCTATGAGACAGAGAATAGAGAAATGCGTAAAACAATTTTTGTTACCGTTGGCAATGCGTTCTTATTGGCAGAGGGTCGTTTTTGTCGGAGCTTTGCCGTTGTTATTTGTTTCGATGAGTCATTCTATAGAGACATTAGCTCATAATTATGTTTTTCTTCTGATTTATCTTTATGATTTGACCGTTGTTGGAATGCTGCTGGTTTTCTTATTGTTGGTTAGATTCCTTTGAATTTAGCCGATGTTGATTTCATCGATGTTGGTTGAATTGACGTTGTCATTTGAAGTGCTAAAGATACATGTTGTTCTTCACTATTTTCACGTCTATCACTTAAATACGTATCATTAAGTTTTTCTTTCAGTAATGAAGCAGATGATGATGCTGAAAGATTACCTTGAAGTTGAAAGTTGTATACTTTAAAAAAAATTTTCGAATGAGATTTGACTATTGTCGCCTATCATTCATGAAATGAACATAAAAATCTAACTGAAGGACGATATGTTGAAAACATGAGATTCATGAAACAATATACACCAATAGCTAGAGCTAAAGATTGTTCCATAGAATTCGATGAGCAAATGGAGGTCTAATCCATGTAGATTTTTCTATTATTTTCCTCAATTACCGTTATTGGTTGGGGAGTAGCTTCTCAAAAAAAATCAGAAGATCAATCGCGGTAAAAATAAAAAGTACAAGTTTTAGAGAGAATAAAAGTAATAAGAACTTCTTTATATCGTGAAATATGTTATGGTGTCAAAGTGAAACATAAGGAACTTTTTATGTCCCAATACTTTGGATAGGAAATGAAATTTATAGAAACACGTATGTTGTTTCTGTATGGTAATTATGCTATCTAATTCGATGAATGGTACAGATGGTCAAATAATATTGCCAATTTTGAGTGTAGAAAATGAAGGATCAAAGTTTTAATAGAAAACTGGTAGTAGTCAGAACTAAGGAAAAACTAAATTAATAAACGATTTTTCTCAATCAAGCCAAGGCGACTGCCTAAATTACTCAAATACGTGACCAAATTTCACTAACTCCTGTAGTGCTTTCTATTTGTGCTATTTAAGCAAATTTACAAAATATGCAGATGACTTACTTCAGGATAACAGGAAGTAGAATGTTTCCATGAGTTATTTAGAATACTACATAATATTTTAAAAAAATAAACAACTGGATTATCTAATAAATAAAATGAACTTTTAGTAAAATACAATTTTTTTCTATATCTGTTAAACATTTATCGCCGAAACAAATTTTATTTGAAAGTAAATAAATTTTTTCTTTGATGGAATTTACAAATTTACATCTGTTAATAATTCAATATCTGTCAAAATCTAAAAATGAAGTTTAATATTTTTCTTGAAATAAATTTATCTGAAGATATTTTAATAAGTATATAATTCAATCTTGATTAATTCTAATGCATATGTTAATAGAAAAGATGACTTTTGATGAATTTTCATTGAGATAAGAATTAGAAAAAGTTAGAACAACGTATGTGAGAAGTGAAGGAAAAACTATCTAAACAGAAGAAAAAAACAAACTGATATTGTTTTTAAAAACATTTTCTTCTGCTCTATTATCAAAATTATTGAACGAATATGTCGACTTATTATTTCTTATCTGACTGTTTTCAGACCATTATCTTATAGACGGAGAGAAAACAGCATTGAACATAACCGACGGACGATGAACATGTTTATCATATATAAAATGATATATTCCGTCAGACAACATTGAAGATTGAAAAGAAGGAGTTGTATATCTTGTATACCTTATATAAATTGAATCATTTTGTTAATAGATTTGATCAATGTTGTTTACAAATAAAACTTTTCTATTACAAGATGTTTTATTATCATCAATCGATGATCACCAACTTTCATGTATTGTTCACATGCAACATTCTCCATATATTCATTTGATAGTTATATTGTTCGTTCAATTTATTTTCATCAACATCTATTTTATTTTATCATTTATTTGTTTACTTTTGGTTTTGTTGTCTCCCTATTTTTGCAGTTTTCGTCGTCTTATCAACGAAACTATTCAATTACGATTATATGAGCAAGAAGAAAGAGATACACATGGAATTATTTTTTTATTGGAAAAAGAAATAATATTAACATTGGTTTATACCTTATTCGCTTTTTTGTATAAATGGCTCGGACTAATGAATAATGGGGAGCATATAACATCAACGAATTTTCATCGATGGTTAATCGAGGCTTCAACAGTTCCACATATTCTTTTTTGCATGATTTGTAATTATTGTATGGGATGTGTCGATAACTTTTTCGATGAATGTAAATCATTTCATGTTCGTGCAATCATGCTCAAAATTCCCCTGTTCTTCTTTATACGTTACGCTGAAAATCAACCTGATCTTTTTCTCAAGGAGATGGAAGCATGGATTTTTTATGCATTATGTCAATCGTCTTCGAAATGAAATATTTATTAAAGCTTTGTTAGACAAAAAAAAATACATCATTTCTTATACTTAATTTTTTTTTTTTTCATGTTTTGTCTTGGATAGAATTGAAATAAAACTAAATATAATTAAATTACATAGAACTGATTAACAATCATTGCGCTATTGAACGAAATTCTTAAGAGTAACTTTCTGAGAGACTCAGACATTGACGATGGAGTGACATCTCAGAATTCGCTGATTTTTTTTTATATGTTATAGAGGGTAGTGAATTTAGTATTTTCTGAAATTTTCAGCTCGATCTGATAACGTTTTCCTGTACAAACAGTCGAAATACTAACGAAATTTTTAGTATGAATTTTTTATTATCTTTTAATCAACTTTCAGCTGGTTTTATTTAGTAAAAGTGACTTTCTCATTTCAAATTGTGAGACTTTTGACTTTTCGTTTTTCTAACTATTACACTATCGAGATATTGTCCTTCTGCATACAAAATTTCAAGAGTTTTTGTCAATCCTATAAGAACTTCTGAAATATCATTAAAAAAAGTCTATCTTGACATTTTTTTGTATTTTTACCAAAATATCTCTCAATCGTATTTTATGCCCCAACAACCAATTGCTGTGATATTTCTACCAGTGATAGAGCTCATCAAGGTCTACCACCTAGGATATCTCACAATTTTGTACCTTGAGAAAAGTAAAGCACTTTTGATTAAAAGTCAATTTTTTCTCCCATTCACGTTATATACTCAATTTAGAGTTTTTTCGTGGCTAAATCCAGTAAAATCAAATAGAAAACTCTTAAGATTTGAATAAGATGTGATTCTTTTAGTGACTTGTATTATTCCTAATTATTTATTGTTATAAATAAACAAGAAAATCTAATAAATATTAGTTGATTAATTTATTATCATATATTTAGAAATAAATAAATTTTGATTTTTCACCTTTATATGGATAGTATAAGAATATTTCATATATCTATAATCAAATATGTTTACAAATGAACATATTTTCAGTACTCCTGACACCGGAAATTCATAGCTTTTATTGCCTTTAAAAATTTCCATTTTAACTAATTTCATGTAATAGTCTACAGTTAAGGCACGTGTACCCTTTGGTTTTGTATGATTATGATAAGGTGATTGATATAAGGAAGATGGTCGCCAGAATACCCCACATGAATAACGATGATGAGGACACATCATATCATTATCATCGCATATATCAGGAACACCCATTCGATTGATAACGAGCAATCTCTCTGTGAATGAGGACAGATCAACACCTATATCGAGGCTATGTTGATACAGTGATCCATTGAGCATTGATAGACTAACTAATTCTTAATGAATATCAGCCTTTTTACTTCGAATTACATCACACTTTCCTCGTTTATGAAAAACACATTCAGAAAATTTTTGGGTCGTTGACATAGTACAAAATGTTAGTAAATAAGTAATCAACAGATAATACAGTGTTAAATATAAAATAAGATTATGTATATCTCCTTTTATACATCATCAAGTGCGCACATTACAAGAGAAGAGAGATGGAGAAGACAAAGGAAATTAAAGAAAATGACGTCGTATAATTTCTGTTTTTAAACTTAACTTACACAGCAAAGACAATGACCCTATATATTTTCTTGTCCAACTGCGCAACAAATAAAGAAAAAGTAGAACAAGAAATACTATGAGAATTTCAATGATTTCTCATGGATAGAAAGGAAAAAAAATGACCTAGATATATATATATGAGACGAATATAGGTAATCCGCAGAGAAGAAAAGAAGGAAAGAAGAACAAATATATGTACATATATATAGAGAAACGAATGCAACTTGGTAGAATGCTCTCTTACAGTGTTGTATTTTTCTATTTTTTCTGTATTATGGATATAGTTGTATTCCATGTTCACTGTAAAAGCCTCCTTCATTGTAATAAATGTGAAAAGAACCAAGACAACATCTTTTTGTTTTTCTTCGACAATCCTCTAAGGATATTTCTTTGATGGCAAAGGATACAGTATTATACATTTCACCTGATTCCTCAAAAAGAATCCTAACAAAACTAAGATCAAAATTTGTGAAAAATTGTTTTCTACGATTCTTGAATATTCTCTTATTAAATTTTTGAACAGCTGAAATGTACGCTATTCTGAGTTTCATTACTATTCTCATTATTGTATATATATAATATGCAATCTACGTCTTGGATGATGAGATATCGATAGATTCTTGAAGTACATTTATTGATAAACATATTTGATTATAGATATATGAAATATTCTTATACTATCCATATAAAGGTGAAAAATCAAGATTTATTTATTTCTAAATATATGATAATAAATTAATCAACTAATATTTATTAGATTTTCTTGTTTATTTATAACAATAAATAATTATGAATAATACAAGTCACTAAAAGAATCACATCTTATTCAAATCTTAAGAGTTTTCTATTTGATTTTACTGGATTTAGCCACGAAAAAACTCTAA